ATTATTACTTTTCAGATTTTCCCGTATTACTTTTCAGATTTTCCTGTATTACTTTTCAGATTTTCCTGTATTACTTTTTCAGATTTTTCCCGTATTACCTTTTCAGATTTTTCCCGTATTACCTTTTCAGATTTTTTCCTGTATTATGTTTCAAATTTTTTCCCGTACTATTTTTGCATTTTTTCCCGTACTATTTTTGCATTTTTTCCCATATTATTCCAGATTTTTTTCCGTATTATTATTTTTCAGATTTTTTCCCGTATAATTCAAGTCTAAGCCACGTATGTGAATTCCCCAAATTTATGACTTATAAAATTTCTCTTTTCACTGAACTGTTCAAATTACTGGTTATTGTTAGTTATTTGTGATTTTCTAAACACCTGCTCTAAAACCATATCATAGTTTAATGCTGTGAAACAGTAGCCTAAAATTATTTATATTATCTAACTACTGAAATACAGATTTTCCAAAACAATCAGTCCTCTATTTACGCCGATTGGCCAATAATTGATGAACAAAATTTGCTGCTTTTTAATTAAATGAAATAATTGTTTAGCAAATCAAAAAATGACAAACTAAAATATTTTTGATTTTCAAATTAATTTTTTTCTTTCATTTTAACTCTTGTGTGAAATATTTCACTGTGTGTATGATGTAAAAAAAACAAAACAAACAGTTATATACACAGGGAGGGTGGCTGAATGGGCTAAAGCCCCTGCCTTCCTATTCTTATGCCTCAAAAGTGCCTTTTTTTCTCAGTCATAAAAATTGTCAACTACTAAAAGGTACGTCTAACTTCACACTTTGCTTGCTGTGAGTTATTGAGAAAAAATTTCAGTTTTAATATGAATGTCACATAGGACTCATAGGTCTTTACAGTAAAAAAGATAATTAAGTGTTAATACACAAGAATTCACTGTCTACTTTTAGATTTAATGTGTTTATAGAAATAAAGAGATGACCCATAATTCCTATAGTCTCTTCTAACCCTTTCCCCCGAAAAAGGCTTGCCTTACAATGCTTGAAAAGTGTTCCTTTTTGTCAATGTGTCTGTGCCATTTTAATGTTCTCTGCACATTACTGAAAAAAGGTATGATATCTGGATGACTCGAGTTATTTTTTAAAAGATACAGGAAAAGCGTATTGTTCTTTGAAGCCTCGATCCCCGACATAAATAAATATAGCCATAGATATGAAACACTCAGGTCATCGCTGGTGAAGGAGATATACACACATCTGGAAGACACTCATTAGAGAAAATTTCAAATGGTAACGTGATCACTGAACACTGGTATAAAAGTGAATACAGGAAAATAACTCAGAAAATGATGCACTAACACTAAAAGATGAAGAGATATCCGCAGTAATGTCATAGTTTTCTGTCCTTTGTGGGGTACAACAAAGGAATAACAGACCCTTGCTTTCAAACATTCATGGTTTTGTTTTATACCACAGAAATACTTACAAAACAGGTTATAAGAGCAGTTGGATAAAAAGAAGCCAACAGCATCTGATTACCAAACAGCAGACTATAGCCGAGAATCAATCCAGCCTGTAGAAAAAAAAAGTTATAGACATAAAACTTTTCAACATTCCTACTCAAGTATTTTATAAATATTACAATGAATTATTAAAGAAATATGAAGCTCTTAGCTGTAGAGAGAGAACAATAACCTTAAGATGCAGACTTAAAACAAACATGAAGTTGAAAGATGTATAATTTTATGAAAGATTTAGTCACTTACTTATAACAAGGTACTGTAAGCAATAGTACACAATAATTACTTGGTTCATATCCAGTCAAACAGAACAGGAAATGGTAATCTCTTTATACCAACAGCATAAAACAAAACTTACTTTAAAAGTAACTCAAGCCGACGAAGGTTGTTGAGTTAACCGAGCGAAACGTTGCAGTCTTTCATTTCTTTTAATCTTGTGACGATTTATTGTTTGTTTGTTACAAAGAAGCTCGATGGGCTATCTGTGTTGTGCCCCACTAGTATCAAAACCTGATTTTTAGAAGTTGACAGACCTACAGCTGAGGTATTTGGGCTAAGATTTATTAATTTGTGGGAAACATGTTTCATTTTTTTGTCCGAAAATTTCATTGTTGTAATAAATTACTGCTAGTGCTGAGAGCAGGATGTATGTTATAACACAAACATAGTTTCTCCTTACGACAGTGCTGAGAGCAGGATGCATGTTATAACACAAACATAGTTTCTCTTTACCCTGCTCTCAGCACTGTCAATGTAGTTACAA